GTCTTGTAACTATTTACATAATTTGCTTAGTAAGGATAATCGTTCTTTTTTTATATAAATCTTCTAACATAAACTAATCAGTTTTAACCTTTTAAATAAAAAAAATAGTCAATAATTTGGTTTGTTTGTAAACCATATTAATTACATTGGAGGTTGTTTGCAAAAAAATATTTTCTATTTATCATCTATTATTGTTCGAATTATTTACAATTATATCTTTGTTTTATTAAAAACAATATATTTGTTGTTTGTCGGTATCTTTTATACGAACCACTGGATTTTTGTCTTTTCCAGTATTTGCTATAAATATACAAATACGTTAAATGGGGAGAACGGAGGAGCGGTACAGAAGTCAATAAGAAATAGGCGAGGTAAGACACCTTCACCGTGAAGGGTTACTTAAAAACATATTAGATGCAAAAACGGGAGTTGAGAGGGATAGAGGTAGACCTAGATTATGTAATTTTCGAGAAATGCGATGTCTAGCTCAAGATAGGAAAATCGCTGTTACATTTTCATCAGAATTTACAATAAGTTATGTATTGCACTTTCTAAACAATTTCGCTAAACAAATTAATATGCCTGCAAACAGTATGTAATATGATCGAAACTGTAATATGCATACTGAAAAATATTGTCTGGGCTTAAAAAGTCAGTTTTGTATTTTTGGCCAATTAAAAAATAGTTTGGGTACAAAAAAATGTCCAGAAAAGCTATTTTCAGTAGGTGGTACCCCGAAGAAAATCAGTTTTTTTTTTACATTTTATCACTGTTATGTCGTGATTTTCAATTTTGCTTATTGCAAAAAATTAAAACATTTTCTGTCACAACTGTCCGGTCTGTAAGAGGTGCGTGTTCGACTATTCTTGGGGTGAAGACCATTGGCGTAGTCAAGAAATTTTTCTAGGGTAAAAGGCTGTCTGTAAGTTATCGTAGGTAACGCAAAGTTTCTAAACATTTAACCTACATCCCTCCAGATATCGGGACTATAACGCGTGGCCTGATTATTCCTTCCCTCATTTCTTGAAAGTTTACGGTTCCAATTAAAAAAATATTTGTTAATTTCCAATAATTATTTAATTTCAAATAAATTCCAAAATCTTATGTAACGCAAACATTGACTCCTCTCTCTCCCCGACGCCAAGCTAGACATTTCCTTTCCCCAATTACCATTCCCTAGTTAATTCGATTTTAGATTAAAGATCAACTAGCTTCTTAGTAGAATTGACAAATTTTGGTAAAGTAACGAGGCAATTTAATGAGAGATGCATAAATGACGCCTCATAATTATGGAATTCATTATTGTGCTCATACAAAGTTACAACCCTCCAGTAAGACAATGCAGCTAACTTCGGCTATAAGTCATATAAAAAGCAATCAAAAATATCTCGGCATTTAGTAATTATAAAATTGCGATTAAGCAGTAAAATCCTAGCAAAATGTATATGAAATTCTTATGAATACGCTTATACAAAAAATTTCTTGTAGATGAAGGTGACAATATCCGCTACACTTATTTATTGATTATATTGTGTTTTTTACTTTTAAGTACTTTAATCAACATAATGCAGTTTCAATCACTACGTAATAGAGCGGATCCTAATCAGCTCTGATTATATTTTTCTTATTATTAGCTGTTTATTTTATGATAGGGACGAAGGCCAATATTTTTGTGAAAGAAAAATAAAATAGGATGATTGATTTTATGCCTATAGTACGAAAATTCATGTATTCTTATGGCACGCGTCTTACTTTTAGTCACGCGCGCGTGAACCTTGTCAGTTCCGTACCTCAAAAGGAAAAACGGAACCGTCATGTACATGATCACTTATTATTTGCCGCAGCCGATTATTTCAAAAACCATTAACAAATTCAAAATTTAGTTATAAATTATACCTACTGAGCTCGTTATTTACCAGAAATTGCAGGTGATTGCAGGGTTTATCGTTTCTGGACAAAGGTCAATTAAATAAAACGCTTCATTTATCTTTCGTTTTTGCGGAAATTTACAAAACTCCATTTTCTAATTGCGGTCATGTTCTGGTGTGAAAAACAAAGAGCTCGTTAACGTAAAAAAGGCGAAAAGAATCAGTCACGGACTCGCGTATTTCATTCAGCCCTTTTCCGTTTTCTCTTTCTCTTCTAACATTTAATGCAACTTGGTCTCTCAATATAGGTATTCTATATACCGGATAATTACATTCTGTGTAGGCAGTGTTAAGATTAACGATCTTGCCAAGCCCTGATATTAAGCTTCTTCTATCCCTCAGTTGTTCGCTGCACGTATCACCGTCCCTATTTCGTTGTACGATAATGTAGGGAAAAGACAGGGTATTTACCAGGGGCGTATTACTGAGAAATTGTAAACGAATCTTATTAAATATGAAATACCTACTTATATAATATTGCATTGGTTGATATTTTTGATTTATCCATTAGATAAGGAAGAAACTGGAATATCAATTATTTTAGTAAAATGGTAACTTTTATACCACAGTGATTATTTTTAACGGTAATCTCAACAATTTTTTTTAATCGTTGAAGGGTGTTACTGCATATTTCTTTTTTTTTGCTACAATAGGCAAGTTGTTAGGAAAGCTTTTTTAAGTAATGTCGATAAACTTTTCAATACATTCATAACAGTGATTTAAATACTGTAACTTAATATACTTACATATGAGGTTGACGGAACTTTTCTTTGAGTAGTATACGAAAAATGAACAGGGGTATATGTTGGGTTGCATATTTTAGCCTTGACCGGTATGAAATTACTTGTCAAGTGACCTATTTTTTTGTCAGTTTACTCATATTAAATTTAATCAAAATCAATATTTATGATTTCAATAAAT